TTATTATTATAATGAATTTTTATTTTAATTGTTGTACGTCGCCCAGAGTCGCTTTGCAAAGTGGACAGCTATATAAATGTGATGTATAAATAAATAAATAATATTCCGAGTTGTTTTTTAGAACTTGATAATATCAGGCTGGCTGTTTCAGCAGACTAGCCTTTTTTATGCCTTTCCTAAAGGTCTTTAAGCTGAAGAAGGGCTACCAAACAAAACAGACTCCAGGCAACAAATTGAGCTCTATGGAAAAGCAATCTGGACCTGCCTGGCTGCTTGTTAAGACTTGGTAGGCTAATGTCTTGGTCCTGGGCATGTTCCAGCATCAACACCTCTTGTGCTGTGACTGTTCTTCAAAGTCCTCAAAGATCCTAATAGTCTTTGAGGTGTTTTACTGAATTCCTGGTTTTTTTTCTTCTTGTTTTTCTTCCAGCCACAGCTTCAATGGATGCTTTGCCCTTTACTCTAGGGGAACTGCTCTGTTTAGGGTCAAGCTTGGCCTTCTCTGGCCTCTTTTATTACCTGCACAGGAAGAAGGCCAAGGTGGTGACCAAAATCCAGGTGTGACATTTCTTTATTGATTTATTTAAAGCACTGTTTTTCAGACTTAGCAACTTTAAGATGTGTGGACCTCAACTCCCAGAATTCCCCAGCTACATACACCCTTCATGCTATGTCTACAGATGGGAGAGGGGGGTTATCTGTTGAGCTTGACTGCTGTTAATTCAGGTCAGACAAAACAAAACCACTTCATGTAGTGTGCAATTCTAGATCATTACCCCAAGACTGGGGCAGTTGCTGCCTGCTAAACAAGGTGGGTGCTTCATCTGATATGCAATAGCAGCACTTAAGTCCTTATGAGACAGTGAATTGGGAGTTTCCTTGGTAAATGTGTGAATGAGCAAATATTTGAGATTCCAAGTCACCTTCACTCTGTGCTAGTTCTGGTATTGCCTCTTCTGTGTACATCTTTTTTCACATTCTTGCACAGGAGGCTCCGAAGCTCCAAATAAGTGCAAGTCTTCCCAGCGTTCTGGCCGCCGCAGGTAGTGACTGCCTCCCCTACGTTGTCATTGAAGGTAAGAATTCAGCAAGAAAGTTTGCCAAGATTTGAACATGGAAACCAGCATGCCAACTCCTTGGCCCCTTCCCTTTGTGTTTATCATAGTGAATTCAGCACCAGTTATCCTTGCCAAATGTCCACCAGGGAATCAACAAATATGTGCCATAGGAAAGTAATACAAGTTTTTAAATAGCTCAGTGGCTTGTTGCAGGCCAGAACTGCTTCCTTGGTGACCAACAGGCAAACATGTAACTGAAAAGAAGATTGAGTCATAAGCTTACCATACATCTGCCCTGAAGCTGGGGAGATCAGCAGACACTTTTTTCCCCTTCTTCTCTGTCTTTGTTTCATTTTTGGCTTCAGAGCTGTTAGGAGTCAAAATGTAAGGCAGTTTTGACATGGTAGAAGTTGAACTGTAAAGCACCTGGAGATGGCTTGTCAAGATCTTCAGAAGGAATTCATTACATCTATAGAGTGGTGGAGAGTGCTTTTTTTTCCCCCCTTACCCTCTCCCCAGTAAACCTCTCATCTAAATCTGAAATGAATTGACTCTCAGTTTGAATGGCAGTGCATTCCCCAAAATGTGAAAATGTTACCCTTCTCTACTGAACTTTGGATACACGCAATTCGGTATACCAATGCAGTTTGGCATGTATTGCTCTGTATTCATACATCTGCCTTTTCTTTTGAAAGTTCCCAAATGTAGAATGCTAGTGCTAAGTTCTTGATCACACAGAATTGGACTTTTCTCCATGCCAATGTGTGGAGGGAGTGAGCACATATATTCAGTCCACAGTTTGAAATCAGGTGTAGCAGAGCCTTTTATCAAATAAAAACTTTTTTTAAGCTATAGATCCTATATGGTAAATCCAGAGTTCTTAATACTACAGGAAAGCCCAATTTTTGGTATATTTTTTATTTGCTTGCTTGCTTGACTGGAGTTATATGCCACTCCAGTCTTAACTGATTCTGAGCGACATACATACCCAATACAGTAATAAGGTTAAAACAATATGGATATTTATTTATATTTAAAAATTCTCACTGCAGAGCAACTCTGGGTGGTTTACATGTACAGATATACATAATCAAAATACTCCGGGCACCGCTAAACAATTAAACCCATATAAGCACTTCCTTTCTAGGAGGGATCAGAATCAAACACATCCAATCCCCAAAGGTTTGCTGAAGAAGCCAGGTCTTAATCCCTTTTCGAAAACTGAAGCATTGGAGCTGATCTGATCTCTGGGGGAAGACTATTTCAGAGAAAAGGACAGTGACTGGGAATTTAACAGTGCTTTCCTGTCTTTAAACCTTATTTCTCTTCCCAACCTCATATTAGCAACCTTTTCAACATTAAACTATAACTGTAGAACCTGCTCAAAATGTGCCAGCCTGCGTCCCTTCCATAATGTTTCACTTCTTGTGGTTTCTGAAAGGTGGAAGGGGATAGCTATTCTGCTTTTCCACCTGTTCTCAAGAAATCCACCCTCTTTCTAGAATTATGCAAACGTTTGGGACTCGAGATGGGTGGTTCTAAGCTCCCTGAAAGGATTCTGGGGCCATTTCAGTCTAATCAAGGACTTTCTGGGCTTGAAACAGCCCATTTTCAAGCCACAAGACTTGCCAATTGGAACTCCCTTTTGCATGCCTGTCCCTCTTCAGGAGTGGTCCAGCCAGTCGGGTCAGCTCTGACCAGCCCATACCACAAGGAGCTGCAGGGAGTGATTGAGAGACTGGTCCTGAAGGAGCATCGTTTGATCTGGAACAGCCTGGCCCGAAGCTGGTAAGCAAGAGGCCTTGGAGAAGAAACATGGGGGTTGAGGAAGTAGACAGTATCCTTGGTTGCTCACATTTATTTGCCCAGTGTAGACAAGGGGGTGGGCTTTTTAATGCTAAGAAGACCCAAGCCTAGCATTTGCTGGCCAGGTTTCATCTGTGGCCTGCGATAAATTCTGACATGGTTAATGTTTCCTATTTCATGTCATCCCAAAGTCGAGGGTAAAGGTGGGAACCTGCAAGTCTAGGAGCGCAAGCAGCCATTGACCTGACTGCAAAGATCAACAAAAGTTTTGGCAGGTGGGTGGGATACATTAGAAAGACATAAGGGGGGGGGAAGCAGAAAGAAGGAAAGGATGGCTCCACTTGGTCTTCACTCTGCAGGAGATGATCAGGAAGTCTGCAAAACACAACAGTGTGCCCTCGGTCAAGGAATAAGCTGCATGGGAAAGTGGGGTATCGGTCCCCTGTCCATAATGCATTCCCCTAGCGGGTGTTCAGCCTCGCGTTCCTGATGCAACTGGACAAATGGGGGTAAATCTGGACTCACGATCAGTAGACCCTCACTAGGGCTTTGCTGCGGCCTCCCCTCCGATGGCTTTACTCTCGTTGCAGGACCGACAGTGAGCGGGTGGTGCTGGAGCAGCTGCACACCGTCCCCTTTGTCCTGGCCTCCCCCACCGACAAAACTGCGGGGTGGGTGAGTGTGGAATTGCCCCTTCAGGCAGTTGATCTGCCCCTGGAGACCGTCTACGAGCGCTTCCAGCAGACCTCCCATGGCTTCAAAGACCTGCTCAGCCACTACCTGAGCGGGGAGAAGCCCAAGGGCTTCCTCGAGACAGAAGAGATGCTTTTGGTTGGCAGCAGCCTGACCGGCATTGGCGAGCTGGCCCTGCGCCCGGATGGCACCCTCTGTCTGCAGCCCCCTTCGGACGGTGCGGGCTATTTCCTGTGCCTGGAGGATTGGCAGACCCTGCTGGCTGGGCTGCAGTCGAGCAGCAGCTTCTGGAAATGGGCGGCCTTGCTGTGCGGCCTCGCGGCTTTGGCCGTTGTCCTGCGTGCCCTCTGCCGAGCCCACCAGAATCGCCGGGTGAACCGGGAGCGGGAGGCCCAGCGACGGGAATTTGAAGACTTTTTGCGTCATCAGAACGATGACGAAGAGTTGCCCCCAAATGCTTGCGTTGTCTGCTTGACCAGCCCACGCGAGTGCGTCTTGCTGCCCTGTGGCCACATCTGCTTGTGCTTTCACTGTTTCCAGGCCTTGCCCAACCCCTCCTGTCCCATCTGCCGGGGCCCCATAGACCGTGTGGTTCCGCTCTATCAGGCCTAGTGAGGTGGCCTCGTAGGCTTTCAGATGCCCCCGAGGCACCACTAGTGCAAGAAACAAGGACCCCCTTCGCTAGCTATACTAGAAACAAGCGTCCCAATTGTGGGTGCAGGGACGTCTGATCCCTGGAGGCATGTGATCTCAGAGGACCCTCTCTTCAACCTCTGCACGGCCCCCAAATCCTCACTATTGGGGAGCGTGTCCAGAGTTGGTATCTCAGCAAAGGCTGCCTTGAC